ATCTTATGCAAAAAGAACTTAATGACTTTTAAATCTTAGTTATGATCCAACTTGATTAATACAATTTATTTGTGGACTCTGTATGCAAATCTTTTTATCATGGAACTTCCATGTATTTAATAGCAATAGATGGCAACGATATGATTTCAGATTTAATTAATCTAGCTAAAGAAATCGCAGGAATTATATAATTATTATAAATCATTCATGTTAAAAATTTGCTTGAATTTTTTTTTTTTTTGCATTCAACTATCATATTAATATGTTGATAATGCTAACAATGATTAGAATTACTATTGTTCACTACTATTATTTTTATTATTATTGTTTATATTAATTTTATGATCTCATCCTGTTTTCTTTTAAATCATGAAACTATTTTAAAAAAAATTAACTGACTATTTCTCGAAAATTTCATGATATCGAATAAAATTATATGGAAATTTTAGCTAATAATCTTATCCAAAATAGTAAATTCATTCTAATATTGATTGATAAAATTAAATTTAAGAGTCATTTATTATTAAAGGACGAATGTGAAATATGATAATGATATTGATAATAATATTTACAATGATGGTATAAATGTTTAAAGATATCGTGAAAGTTTCGTTTGTATGTGTTGGATGGAAAGAGAAAGGTTTATTCAGTAGTAGAAGTATAGCAATTATAATAATACAACGTTATTTGATAATGAAACTAGATAATGAAATTGGGAATTACAGTCTAATCAAAGGTCGAGTTATATGAGACGAAGCAAACGTTTTGTGATCTTCGACAGAGAAGAGTTATTTTTTGAATGCCAAGAATGCATTTATTGGGCATATTGCTCCTAAATGGGTTGGGCTTAAGATAAGATAATAGCTTCATTTAAGGTTCTTACAAAGCCGACAATAATTTCACTGATACAAGAGATATTTACATAAAAGATTAGATTTTTTTATAAGAAGAGAAAATCGCCATAAATTATCTCAACATCAAATGAGAAAATATTTCAATCGATTAAACTTCGACGACAGACTTATCGTTTTAGATATAAAAAATGTCACATATATTGTTTGTCTTTATAATAGAAATATTTACCGTAAATTCTTTAGCTGTTTGGACGTATTACAATTTTCCTTTTCGTTTTTTTTTTCGATAGAAGAATTATAATAATGTATGAGGTGAGATACGAAACGCGGTTAAATAAGATTCGAAATTTTCTCAAAATCTTATTGGAACACGTGACTTCATTAGTTTACAACAAAAAATGAAATAGTAAAATCATATCCTGAATTTCAAAATCATACCTTAATATATTTTCATATCAGTAATTTCACTACCCGAAAATACCATCCATTCATGTGGAAGAAACTTAAATAGCGTAAAATTAATCAACTGAATGAGAAGTACTTCTCCGATCTGCTTTATAACATAAATTGAACATAATTTTTTCATCACATTTTTATTATTAGTTTTAAAACATAAAACATATGGTTATAAATTTGAAAAAAAAAGAATTGTATTAAATATTTATTCATAATTTTTAACATATGATTTTACAAGCTTTACTTCCATTCCTTTCATTGATCATAATACTATAGTTTTCATTTTTTTCAAATAACAAAATCATAAAAATTAATATCGATATTTATCGATGGAATTAATTCATATTTCATAAATGGTACTTGGTAAATGGTATTACTTTTTATTGAATCAGAAAATGATCCGGGAGAAATAATTATACAAATGGTATCATTCATAATTTAACAAAATCCTTCTCTTTCGCTGCGATCAATAATTTGGATGGATATATCATCCAACTATCGAATAAACGAAGTTTTGAAGAATTTCTTGGATGTAGAACATACAAATTAAAATGAAATGTATTTCTATAAATTGGATCCAATGAAACATGAAATATGTCGAGTGAATTAAGTTTAATTAATATTCCCCTTATTATATTACTGTTCTCATTTGAATTGAGAAAATGAGATAAGTGATCGAAATTAACGTGAACACAATTATTCTATCGCCAATGTTACCTTATCGAGATTCTGCAAACAATGGAAAATTTCACGGATTTTGATGGCTTAAAGGTTGTCCGATGGGAGACACTGCAAAAATAGAACTGTTTTGTTGTTGTCAATGTGGAAGAAACTGAAACAGCACAAAATCAGTCAAATAATCGATCAAACAGAAGCGACAGGCGGAGCAATGGCACTGGTTTACGATGAAGGTATAACATCAGATACCACAAGCTTCATTCATCAGGATGGGAAGGTATCGATTCAGTACTGAGAACGCCAGCCATGGTATCGGAACGTAGAGAACTGGAAGCAGCTCATGAATTTGTGCTCTAAGTTCACTTTCCTAACAATGCAATGCAACATTTGTCTTAAAAAATTTGGGATCGTAAAAGTGCCAAAATTTTTTGCATAGATAAAATAGTGAGCTTAACTTTGGAATACTATTTCCGGTATAATATCTCTTCAACCGTGACAAAGATTCGTTCTACTTCCTTGATTGATAGATCTCAAACTTAGGTAATTAAACCATTATCCGTATAAGATTGATCAATACAGCAACAAACTCAACAATTACAATATCAGTAAGAAAAATTCAATGAGATATCGATAAGAAGAAAAGAAAAAAAGAAGACCAAATAACGCGCGATATCGTCTATCCAATTGATCTCGATGAATCACATCTTTAGAAATAATTTTAGTGATCAAGGTCCTCTATTTCTTCGAATATGAAAGCATCTTATATGATCTAACCAATTCTACATATTTAGCTCATATCTATTACTACTTATTACTTAATTATATGTTCTAGCTATTGGCATATTTATTTTCCGTGTTGTTACGAATTGTTTTTCTTCATTATAATCTTTTTATTCTTGTTCATGAATGAATGTTTCATTTCATATCACTTCTATGGTGGAATCTGTCAGTTTTTTTAATTTTATTCACATAAAATGCATTTGCAGTTTCATCCAATATTCTTGAGTATGCCATGATATTTTTAGACTACTGTCAATTGTCAAGTTCATTTCAATTTTTGGTATGTTAATTTATTCAGAATTGTCTAAATTTAAGAATCTATTTAAACTTTTCGGATTTCGAATATTTTCTTGGACTCGAAAAATTTTGGATTTGTTTAAATTTA